CCGCATAGTTGAAAGTTAACATAAGATAGAGAAATAATTGTATGGCTGAACTTCTAGTTGAACTTCAGGATGTTCTCATTAACTCTTCTATTGCATTTCAGACTGCTATTCAGAACTGACAGTTCTCAAAGAGGTTAGAAAGGAGTTTGGAAACTTCTCTCACCCCAGCCCTGCACAAGTGCCAAACATTTCATTTCACCCCAAAGCAGCAAGATGCAGCATGACACACTCTAAAAACACACACCCTGTCTCCCATGGTGACCACCGAATGATCAAGGAAGCACTGCCAGCCTCCCACTGAGCTCTGCTTTCCCATTTCCCAGTACCCTTCCAAGCTCCTGCCTGGGGCCTCTTCTCCCTGCACTCCCTACAGGCTGTTGCTATACAGGGCCCAGACCCACTGAGGGTACCAGACCATCTCAAAGAGCCACTGTCCGCCCTGGCCAAGCCTCCATACCTTTTAAGCCTCGTGTCACCCAGGACCCCCTTGAACCTGACCTCCAGCTCTAACTCCTGCTCACCAGCCCTGGACCTCGACCCCCAGTTCTTCCTTCTAATATGGTCTGTGCTGTAGCAATGCTGCAGGTACCCCCAGCACCTTGACCTCTACCAATGCGACTGCCTCCACTCTACCGCCCCCTAGTGCACAAACCTCCAAGAGTGCCCGAAGTCTAGGACTTCCTGACACCCACTGAGCCCTCTTTTCAGCTGATAAACTCCCTAGACTTTTTCTCAGCATGGACCTTACACTAAATTTCCAATCCCTAAACCTGCCACAGTTGCCCTCTGAAGAGGACCCTGTCTCCTCTTTCCCCAAGACTATAAACTCTCCGGTGTGAAGGCCCTACACTCCCCTGAGACCTTGCCCGCTCCTTGTCTCAGGGAATCAGATCCTCCTCCTTTCCTCCTTCACTCATGTGAGCCTCATGGCCACCTCTTCACCTCTCCGGCCACCAACCCAATGACTTCCAGGACAACATCTCCTGCCACCTGTATTGTCCCTTCAGTTGTCTGGTCAGGATGAAAAAAAGAAACTCACTTTTCCTGGCCTTGGGCTCCTCCTAACTTGGATGCCTCACCCTTCTCAAAGACACCCACACCTGAGATTTTTGCTAAGATGGTCCTTCTCCAGGGGCATGTGAGCTTTCTGGGGCCTGCTTAGACTTGCCGCCCTAGTAATCTTAGGTGCAAAGCCTGACTCATCACAGGAGCTCCATTCACGCTCTGTGACTGCTACCCAACTGCTCTTCACAGCTTCAGCCAACTAACCAGCCCCACTATCCCCCAACCAGAGGCTCATCACTCAAACTGCTGCCTTACTTGAAGGATGAATCCTTTTCCCTGTTAAATAGTGACGATTTAAAGCATTTGGTTATTTTAAATTGCTTGTGTTTCTTCCAATTTAGAAACATCTACTCACCTCAAGCAGAGTAATTTACTTTTCAGTCATCACATATATCTAATATATTTTCGGGCCCTGCGCTCTCTACCATTAGTACTTAAGGAACCTATTGTTGACATGTTTTGGGGTCACATTGGAGTAGGTCCTATTGCCTCATCATTTTTCATACCTCTGGGAAAAATGGGCTCAGTTACCAAAGTGGATCAGTCCCACCTCCCATGTAGTCCTTAGTGGAGACAGCTTTATGCCATGAGGCAAGACACAATGAAACATATCAGAGTTCTTCTTTTCATTCTCCCTGATGAATAATTTGACTTGAAATATATTTAGATATTTTTAAAAATCTTACTCATTAAAGTAATTCTATCCCTTGTTCCAGAAGTCTCAGATATTCCTATCCTAGCTAAGCCAAGGAGAAATTCTGTGTACTGTAATTTCTTGGTCACTTCAAACTCTCTTATGTTTCTAGCTGAAATATAATATAAAAATTATGACTATCTTCCTTTTGTTTCTTACTTCAGTAATAACCTGACTACTGGATCTTGAGTAACAATGGCCACACAGGTTAATATCTTTTATAGTTTGTGTCTGGATGTCTCCCCAAAGCCTCATATGGTCAAAGAGGGCAGGCTTTGCAGAGGCAGCTGAATCTAGAGTTTGTGATTGGTTTATTGTCTAGTGCTGGGATCAGGAGCATGGGTGCCACACCCGCCCTAGGGTGGGTAGCCTGCATACCCCATAAGGGAGGAGAAGGGGTTTGCTCTCCTCCTTTTGCTCTTGTTGTTCTTGGTATCTTCTGCTGCCATGAATGGTTGCCCGTCAACCATGCCATCCTGCCTTGGAGTCAACTGATTACAGACCAAAACCTCCGCAAACTGTGAGAGGAAATAAACCTTTCCTTCCTTAATTTTGGCATCAGTTATTTTTGTCTCAGCAATGAGAAAAGTAAGACAGTACCCATGCATGAAGGGGAAAAATCTCTGTTTTTGTCCCCATGTGGATAACCTCAAACCAATCTTTACCTTCATGCTTCCATTTTCCTTGAGTAATCCAATTTCTCCACCATTTCCCCCTAAAATGTATTTAGCCTTTCAGAATTTAAACAGTAAATACAATGATCAAGGTAGGAAGCCACTGGTGAGAGCATAACACATATCACAGAGCAAAAATTGACACATATGAACACATACATAATGCTATTGAAAAGAAAAGCAAGTAAAATACTGTCCACAAAGCAGCACAAATAGATACCCAAAGGTTCTCAACATGCACAATTATCCCAGGCCTGGAAATTTATTTGAAGGATCAAATGAAGAAAAAAAGTACAAAAATAGTTCTTACAATATGATATGTGATAGAAGGAAAAAATTGGGACCTGTGATGGAGGAGACATGGCTGAGTGAATTATAGGCCATATGAAACCTCCATCACAGCATGAAAAATGTTACTGATATATTCAGTTACAAATAACATAATTGGATATGTGATATGATCCCAATATGTAAAAAATCTGTTTGTATGAAGACAGTAGAACCATGCATAATATTTTACAGTGCTGCTAGATGCTACAGTGTTGCTGACAATTGTCACTATTTAAGCATGTCCCCTTTGCAGGGACAACGGCAGGTGGTTAAATGTGAGTACAGATGCCAGGCTCCTATTTCTTATGCCAGTTCATTTATTCATGTTCACCTTTCCAGAAATTAATATTAACCTGAGCAAGTTACAGTATGATTGGATATGATTGCCAGCAGGTAATTAGTAAACACTGAGAGATGCCAAGAAATGTAATTGGAAACTATGGTAATATACAAGAGGAGACAGGGGAGCGGGGACAGCTTAGCTCATCCCAGTCTCTGCCTGCCATTATCCATAGAGCTTGAGCCACACGGTTGAAGGCCAGCCTCCCTCTGCTTAGTCAGCCCTGGGCTGAGGTAGAGAGGGTAAGGTAAATGGGCCCCTGACTACCCAGAGTCCCTATTTTAGGTTGTATTTAGTCTACCTGTCTATGTGTGTGGGATGCCTATATGTGGAGGCATACACACATACACAGTGTAATTAAAAACTATCATGAATGTTTATATTTAAAATAATTATTACAGTGAAAAACACAGTGCCATTAATTCTCCTCCAAATACCTCTGCTTCCCTTCAGACACACTTCTCCCCTCATTCTTGCCATTTCCTGAAGGAGTTCTGGAACTCTTCTTCAGAAGTGTCTTTAGCTGTCCTGTTGTAGCTGCCTTCATGTCCTGAATTGACACAAAATGTTTACCTTTCATGGTTATTTCAACTAAGAGGAAAGGCCAGAGGTTGTACAGGGCGGGTGAGTAAGGTGGATGAAGACACACCATAATGATTTTTTGAGGCTACCTTTCCACTGGATGGCCCTTGGTCAGAGCACTCATGGCATGTTTGACCACACCTCATAAATACACTCCCCAAAGAGGACTTCCAGAACTGCTTCAGAAAGTAGCAAGATCGATGAAATAAGTGTGTATGAAGTGAGCAGCAGTATTTTGAGAGAGATTAGTGGCGATCAATACTCTATGTCTGCTCCTGTAATCAATTTTTTTAAAATGTAAACATTCACCATGTATTTTGATCACGACTTACGTTTTTATGGTCATAAAATACACATAACACAAAATCTACTGTTTTAACCATTCTTAAGCATGCAGCTCTGTGGCTTGGAGTACATTCACAATGACTTACAATCATCACCACCATCAGTCTCCAGAATTTATCATCCCGAACAGAAGTCCTGTCCCCATTAAACCCAAACTCTCTATCCTGTCTCCTGTCAGCCCTTAGCAGCCACCATTCCATTTTCCATCACCAAGAATGGCTGCTCTTCATCCTTCCATAAGTGGAACCATATAGTGTCTGTCTTTTTGTGACTGATTCATTGCATTAGCACAATGTCCCCAGTGTTCATCCATATATAATAGGAGTCAGAACTTGCTTTCCCTCTAAGCTGAATCATGCTCCACTGGTAGGCAGTCACCATGAGATGGAGATCTTCAGGGGCATCAGTGTCCCCTTTTCGTACTGCCAGCAGGTCATACTGTTTACTGACACAATCCTGACCCTAAGCTCCCTCTTGGGAAATGGCCTTCTACTTCACTCTCGGCCTCAGGCTGGGCCATGCCTCGCCCGTGCTACCTCTCTTGTGGTCATTCCTGCAGGAAACCGCCAAGGTTTCTTGTCCTACTTCTCAGAACCTGGGTGGTCCATACCCCCACGACTGTGTGTGCCCTATTGCCCAAAGTTCCTACTTCAGGTTGTGTTTTAGTCCACCTGTCAGGATGCCCATATCTCACCATCGGTGCAGAAGGGGAGCCACTTGCCTAAACTGCTTTGTTCTGATGACACCTTTGCAGACTCCACCTTACCTTCCAGGTGGGGCCTGCTTTCTGTCCTGTACAGGGACAGCTATCTTTTGAAGAGATGCTCCTTCAGTCCTGTCTACATTCCAGTTTTCTTCCCTTGTATTCCCCCTCACCAGATATTTCTCTGCAAATTCCGCATATCTGCCCAAACCCTCAATTCTAGACAGACAAGATGAACCCCAGAAACACAGCCATGTGCACACTTACAGCCAGAGCGAGTTCCTTCCTTGGGTGATGACCCCTGTGAATCTAGTCAGGCGCCTGGCATCCACCTCAATCCACTGATGGAGGTCATTCCTGCCTGCGCACCATGCCCCGTCGTAAAAGTCATTCTCATTAATGCCTGCCTGGAAAGAAAAGAGGGGTATTCTTCAGAAAGACCCTAAATTAAAGAAAATTAAGACAAAGCTTTTCCTGAGACTGAGAAGAAAGGAGGATAAGAAAAGAAAGTGAGAAATGGGGTAAAGAAAACAATCATTGTGCTCTGAACTGTTCATTGCAAGTCATCAAAGGGGGTTCCTTAGTATTAAAAAACTAATATCTCAATATACATCCTCTTTTTGCCCAGTGTGAAAGGTGAAACTTAATGAGTTCTCCTATTGCTCATTCATCCAAAACACAAAAAGTATCTCCTACACACCAGCCCACACACGCCAGGTGCTGTGGAATCAAAGGTAAATTGCTCCCTCCCAGAACCTTGCCCTCCAGGCAGGAAGAAAGATGTGAAGACGGGTGAGCTGGAGCACAGTGAGCAGGCGATATTCCAGGAGGATGAGCAAACCTCTGTGGGAGCATCTAAGGATTCCTGAGTCTCAGAAAGACTGGTAGGCAGGTGGTTAGACATCAGTGGGCACAAGGGACAAAGCAGGGTGGGATGGGTGATCAAAATAGCATGCTTTGCCAGTTATACTTAAGTAAAGAAGCAATGACTTCATGTGTAAAACAATTTAGTCCCGCAGAGCACAATGACATCTTAAGCTTGTACCCTGTGCACATTCTGTCCAATATCTGGCCACCTGTCCATCTATTTCTAATATAAGGCATACAGCATTCCTGGGTGCCATCATCTATAGCTACTGATATGAGACAAGGAAGCATTCTTTAAAGACCCTCCCTCTTTGGGCTGAAACTGTTTAGACTCTTACATGAGTAATGGTCGTGAGGGAACACTGACCACCTTAGAAGAACAAAGAGGGCATTTTTGAAATATCAACATTCCAAACTAACTCCTACAAGAAATGTCAGTTAGTGGGGCTGGGGAATTGGCTCAGCGGCACAGCGCCTGCCTGGCAAGCGCAAGGTCGTGAGTTAGATTCCCGGTACCAGAAAAAAACAAACAAACAAAAAACACATGAAAGAAATGTCAGTTAGCAAATACATTGAATAAATAAAAGTGATAATTATCATAGTTCCCCAACCCTGAAAATAACTTGTATGAGCATAAAAAGGTATCCAAACTCGCACTCAGTGCAGATTTCTCTGTTACACTGTCCATCTTGAGGCGTATCTCCCTCTGCATCTACTTTGCAATAACTCTACCTATACTTCTGCATGGCTTCCAATGGGTCTTGACTGAAATCTTTCATCAAAGACACCAAGAATCAAGGACTAAAGGAGTTAAGGGCTGATTCCTAGCTGCACTGAGACCTAGCTTTCTCATCATAGATATCACAAGGAGTGGTAGTTGAGCTGGGTGCTATAGGGTAAGTTTTTCCTAGTGAATATTTGTCTATTACTATGTAATTCATTCGACGTGTTATCAGTTACTAGTACTACCAAAAATTCTTTTGACCTGAATTTCCAAGGTAAAGTTTCTGCTCTGAAATTTCCCCTATATTATCACCATCTGAAGAGATAATTCTTTGACCTAAAAAACCATACATTTCATAAAGGACATTTGAGCTAAATGAGGCATCCTTGTTTACTAAGACCTTTTCTGCATTAATCTTATTTTTCCATGACTACTTCACAAGGAAATAATTAGATGAGAAAACATTAGAATGACAGACTGGCAGGTTAGCACGTCTTTCATACCTCTGAGCACCTCTCTACTCAAATTTTGAGGACAGCTTGACTTTCAATGGGCAACGGAAAAATGAAATTAAGAATACTGTTATAAGAGATGAACATCTTGACCAAGAGCTCCATCAGCAGAACTCTACCGATCACTACATGAGCTAATATTAGCTTTGTAGTGGGATCAAACCACCATGGCTTGTGTATTTTCGTTCCACTCCTGAAACCATTCTCAATGAATTCTGAAGGCAAATGCTAGAATATGAACACAGCATGGTCTTCAAAAAAAGAAAAGTATCATCTCAAATGAAGGTGAATTTAAAAAGCTATTAGTAACTGGGCACGGTGGCACATGCCTACAATCTCATCACTCCAGAGTCTGAGGCAGGAAGATGGTAAATTTAAAGCCAGCCTGGGCTCTGTAGTGAGACCCTGTCAAAATTTTTCTTTTTTAAAAAAAAAGCTCTCAGTCAACACTCACTAGAAAACCACACTCAATTCTACATCTCTCACACCACATCTGGGTCTAAATGGCCTACAACAGTAGTCCCCACACCCCAGGCCATTGATAAATACAGGTCAAGGGCCTGTTAGGAACTGGGTCACAGAGTGGGAGGTGAGCAACTAGCAAGGAGAGTGAAACTTTTTTTATCTACATTTATAGCTGCTCCTCATTGGTCACATTACTGCCTGAACTCCACCTCCTGTCAGGACACGAATTGGTATGAGATTCTCATAGGAACGCAAAACCTACTGTGAACTGTAAATGTGACGGATCCTGGTTGCGCGCTCCTTTGAATAACCCCAAAATAATCTACCACCCAAATCCCTCCCCTTCTTCTATGCAAGGATTACTTTCCACAAAACATGGTGCCAAAAAGGCTGGGGACAGCTACTTTAAGAGATGTCTATGACAAGAACCTGGAGGCTTTGCAGGTTCTGCCTACTAAAAATTATCCCCAAGAAAGGTTGCATTTGGCAAGTGTGTTTTACCAGTGCCTCTGTGTGTTCTGATACAAGTTAGTTCCTAAGAAATGGTGGTGCCTCTCTATTCAGCATAACATCTCAGGTTCCAACCCTGCCAGACAGCAAGCAAGTCATGAATCCAGCCAGAGGGCTATAATCATACCACCACTTCCTTTCTTCCCTTGAAGGCAATTATCCACCTAATGACAGATCTGTAACACATTAATGACCTACAATATCACAACTGATCTCCTTTCAGGAAACCATAATATGCACTTATTTTTTTGTTGTGGTTCCTTTTTCTCGTAAACAGCCAGAGACCTGTTTAGAACAGTTTCATTCATTTAGTAAAATGAGCCTTCACTGTGTCTCCACTATACACCAACTACAGGCCCAGACAACGGGAATATGAAAGCAACACATATGTGCAGCCTAGTCCTCTGGCTCTGAGAATAGGCAGACAGACTGCATCTACACATGGTGCCACTTACAACCAGCCACCACACAGTGTGCTGGTAAAAAGTGTGTGCTCTGAAGTCCCACAGCCTGGCTATGAATCCAAGCAGTGTGGCTTACACACTGTATAAACACAGATAAAGCTGAGCATGGTGGTACACATCTATAATCCTCACACTCTGGGAGTCCGAGGCAAGAGAATCACAAGTTGGAGCACACACTGGGCAATACAGCAACTTAGGCATGCCTTGTCTCAAAATAAAAGTTATAAAAGGGCTAAGGATGTAGGTCAGTCTGCAAGCCCTGGGTTCAATCCCCAGTGCCAAAAGAACAACAACAACAATAACCATTGGTAATTAGCCTAAATGTTCTGTGCCTCAGTTCTCCTATCCTGTCAAAGTGGGAGCAATGAGCATTTTTCCCTCAGAATTTCAACTGTGCTTACAGCAAGTCCTGACACATAGTGTGGATGCAGAAAACTCGGGACTTCTAAATGTTAGTTGTAAGTGCAAATTTGGTTAGTGCCGGCAAAATGTAGAAATAGGGGTGGTTTAGGAATGATTTCAAATTTTATGAAATTCTCAGGTATTACACTACTATTCAAGTTAATTGATGTCACATTTTCTACAACTTCAAACTTTCAGAACAGAGGTCTGCAAAATCTGAAGAAAAGAGGAGCCTTGTAGCCACAGTTCTCAACAGGAGTCCATGATGCCTGCAGGGGATGCTTGTCAATGTCTGAAGTCATAACTGGAGAAGGACAGTGGTGCCTACATCCAGTGAGTAGAGGTCAGGGATGCCAGTAACATCCTACAAGGTGTGGGACAACTGCCACAACCAAGAGCAACCTACCCAAATGTCCATAAAGCCAAGGTTGCATTTCTCTGGTCTAAGGTGAAGCCGACAAACACAGAGCCGCCCCATGACTTGAGATGTTTACCCTATGGACTCATGAAACTTGGGGCAACCATCCTCACGACAGTCCACCACCGTCCATCCACCAGGATTTGAAATTAAAGCTAAGAGTCCTGGTTTGGCAGTCCGGAAATTTTGCTTCTGCTGCCAAACTGAGTTCTCTCTGAACACACCAGTAAATTAAATGTAATACACCTCAACGGAATGGAGAGTCCTGGCCAAAGATGACTCATTAGGAATTGACAGACACCTCAACAAAATCAGTTGCTGAATTTAAAAGGCAAGCACCTGTCAGAATTCAGTGGAAGAGGAGGCCCCGGAGGTCTCACCAAATTACAATTATTGTACAATATACAGCATTCATAAAATGCCTCCTAGGAACCAGAAAAAGACTACAACCATCACTTTTTGTTAAATGATATGGGGAAGTACATGAAATTTTGGGAGAAATTTCAACTAAAATTTGTTGAAGTAAAGGCTTGCTTCCATAAAGTATAAGCTAGTCTTGAAAATGCCACTAAGGTGATGTGATTCTTCCCACTACGATAGCAAATAATTTGAGAATTAATATAATTTTCTAAAGGCAATTAAATCATATGCATCATTTCTTTACTTTAAAAAATAGCACACTTAACAGACTGTTTTGTGTAAGATAAATGTGGGAATTATTGAATACATAGCAAAGAGAAAACCTTATACTATCTGCTTAAGATCAATCAAACAAGTTTCTCTGTTTCAAGATGATAAAGAAAACATGTTAGTTTTTCTCTGTTACTCTCTCAAACCCTGCACCCTCCAAAAAAACCCTACAACTTTCACCTCTGGTAAAACTGGAAGATATCTGTAATCCTAAATTGCAATGCATGAAGGCAGAAATCAGATTGAGGAATGTTGAATGACTCAGGAAAAGAAGGAAGTGTACAACTCCAGTTGGTGTATCAGTGAGAAACAAGCCATGGGACTTGGTAGAGAACAAAGAACATAGAACTTTGGA